TCTTACATCTAAAGTCAATGTTACAATTTTTAGTCACAGACTATGATTTTGCAAAGACTTGCAGCATCACCAGACTGCAACTAGATTTTTTAGATTATTTCCCATTATGCACCTGGTGGAAATTTACAAGCAGGGAAACCCTTTTCCTACTCCGCTATGGAGTGGTACAAATGAGAAGATATGTTTGCTGGGCATGTAAAGATCTGAGGTTCAACCCAGTTCACTTTAAAACTAGATATTCTTTTTTATTTAACATAAAGATTTACACATCAACAAAACATGCAGTGATTCAGCATTGAAAATGGCTGACCCAAGACAGCCATTCTGACCACCTTACACTAAACGATCACTGTCTATGACAGTGAAATTGCTTAAAAAAGTCGTTTGGGGTAAAGCCGGCATTACTGAGGAAAAAACAGGCAGATGTGAAGATAAAATGTATAATTTATATTTTGCGAACAATAAAACATTGCAAACGATGCATTTATTGATCAACTTACAGTGTATGACTCGTCACTTGCTATTGTTAAAGTTTAACGTTGCGCTCGATGGAGTAGGTTCAGTGTCGTAAACCTGGCAACCTGCGTGAGCTTTGAGTCTGGGGAGAAGGAGGCTGGGTGAGACAATTCTCTCCAGTATTTTGAATTAGTTGATTAGTTGGATATGATTAGTTGGATCAGGTGACATAGGGAGACAGGGAACAGGGGAAATACTAAAGTAAGCAGGGCAATGGGGTACTCCAGGACCAGGCTTTTGAACAACATTATCCAGGAACCAAATACTGCTGCCCTATTGTGCTCTGAAATGCAGGAAAGATCATATGAATATGTGTGCAACACACATTGTGAGCCATGTTGTTTCCACAAAAATGTGGAAGGCAGTAAAGCCTGAAGGTATCAGCAAAATATTCTAAGTATTTGACAATGGCTTTTGTCAACATTGAAAATGATTGGCGTTGCCTTTGGTTTTCTATCCTTGTTAGCTCTTGTCAAAAAAATCTTATATCCTAATTATAAGCCCAGCTATATTTTTATATTGATCATACTTTCTGCCTGGTAACAGAGTAATCTGCAGAAGACATATAACCCAACATGCTAACAGTTAATCCTTTTTTCAGATACATACAGGGCACAGATATTTCCTGTGTAAGCAAGAAGGGAAATAAGACGTCAGCCTCTGTGGTTGATGGTGGTATAGTCATCACCTTCTTCTAGAAATAGAGCTTCTGTCTAGAACTTCTGTTTGCCACTGAAGAATACATGTATATCACGTTACAAAATCCATATTTGGTAAAGTTTTACTCTACTGTCTGTTCTGAAGTGCCTATAAAATCTATTGTCAGACAGTGAATGTTTGAGACTTCTCATCCTAAGACAGAACTCTTGCAATACTAGAATAAAGGAAGATTTTTCATTAACTCAACTGCATGACTTTTAATCTTTCATTTGATTGAATAATTTTTCCCTAGCACTCTTGTGTAGCAGTGTTAGGGGCAAAAAAGGAGGATGATTTCTGGGCTCAGCAGAGGCAGAGGCCACAAGGAGATTCAACGTGAGACTAGAGTGGAGTGCGCAGCAGAGCAAGAGTCAGAGAGTCAGACTGAGAACCCAACTCAGTCTCTCTAAAGTCTCTTTTACTGTGAGTGTTTTTTCCTTTATAACATTTAATGCCAGTAAAATGATTTATAAGCTAAAGTAATCAAAATCAACTTTCACTGCTATTTTCTGTGCACTATTTAATTAGAATATTCTGTGATTGTAAACGTTTGTATGATGAACATGGAATATGATCTCTTTCAAGGAAAAACGGTGTAAACCTGGTCACCTATACCCTCTGTAGTTTACATCATACAAAGTAATTAGAACTCAAAGAAATGAAAGCACAGCAGGTTCAACCACTCAGGAGTCTAGAATGAGGAAGAAAGAAAGTACATGGAAATTGATACTAGCTGGCATTGATGCTACCTGCAGCATATAAGCAGTGATACTCAGAGGTCAACACAATTTCCTGGCACCTTCCATGAATAAAATTCAGTTTATATCCCATTACCATTTTAAAAGCAATAAGATGACTGTTATTGTTATTGTTGTTGTTATTTTTTAAAAAAGTTAAGGTATATGTACTTGAACTCAAAATACTTATTAACATTAGCATTTAAATGATCACAGCAACACAAAATATCTGTATCCACTTTTAATATGGTGATTTTGGGCTGCTCCATTTCAGTGACAATGAACTTCTCTATGAAATATATTCATTAATATCTTCCAAATAATTATTTTTATGAAAATATTAATTAACCAAAAATTAATTATAATATTAATTAACCAAAAATAACAACAATTTAATGTCCCACATTTTTTGCAACACCTTGCAAAATGACCATGAGATCAGTAAGTATTCTCATTCTATTTACACTTACACACACAAAAAAAGATTTGGCTGCATGGGTAAAGCTTGATCATTCGACCTTGTTAACAAAATTATTGTTAACAAGGTTGAGTGATCAAGATTGATATATTTTTTAAATGTATGTAAACTATGTGGTATTAATAACTAGAATGTAACATGTGCAGTCATTTATGGTGATAATAGCTTATATAGCATCTGTTTTGACCACTTGAGTTGGGAAAATAGCATTTCCAGAAGGCTAAGCATATACTTTGATTAATACTTTGTTGAAAAACACCAAAGAAAAAAGTAAAAGTTGCAAAAAAAAAAAAGTTTTAAAAAAAGTAAGAGTTTCAAGGCATAAAATGAAATCTATTCATGTCAAGTACCAACTGTTGACAGACAATGTGTGCATGAGAAGAGTGTGCAGGGATAAAATAAAACATCAACTTGACAGTGACTCTGTTTTCTTTGAATACAAGCACACGAAGAGCAATATTACAGAAGTAAGGTCCACTTGAGCTGCATTATCTTTAGCAGCATACTGTTGATGGGGACACAGTGCAATGGCCCTTATTCATCAAACATGCATGCGATCAAATCTGACCATAAAAAGAATGCTTGCAAATTTCACAGACACTTTTGTTATTCATCAGTTTCACCTTTGGTGTATCTGTAGAATCAAACTCATGTGTGCAGTGTGTAAATTTGAGCACAATAGTTTAACAACCTGAAAAATAATACTAATAATTTGTCCACATGTCAATCCGATATAAAAGTGGATGCTCTTATTTTACATGCACATTGGTATAAACAAATGCAGCAAATATTCCATGTTCCCCTTCAAGAGACTTTACACTGCATTTTGTTTTTTATACTACTGACACCCCCCCCCCATAACAATACAAAACATATGTATAATGCAGAAGCATCTCATACACAGCCGTAAGCATTTAAATTTCATCTCCATGTGTTTTCAAGTCATACGAAAGTTTCATGAATCATATGTAGAGTAGTTTGTCTGTCATTAATTGTGGTCAAATCTACACTCCTTTTATGCACACTGATGAATGAAGGCCAGTGTCCATTAGGGTCTAGACTATTGCACATCCCCATGAACTCCAAACGGAAGTACTTGATACTGCCAAAGTAAGTAAAACTAAATAAACTAAAACAAACATAAATACAGGCGGGCTCTGGTGCCACATTGGCCCCCAACTTTGTTCGAGAGCAGCAACCCTGCTGTTAATTAGTTCCAGTCCCAACAGATTATTTGAGGGCACCTGGCCTGGGAGGTACCCAGGGCCCCCTAGACTCTGGGCTGTCAGGTGTGGCCATCGGGGTGATGTGGTCCTCCTGGGTCACTGAGGGATGTCAAGGAGATTTTGAATTTGCTGAAGGGCTTCAACAGCACTCTGGCACTGCCACAGAGCTTAGCGGGGTTCTCTGTGCAGCTGGGGAGCGCAAGTTGGGTCCTGGGTGGCATAGCTCTGGAGGGCCTTGGGCACTAGGTTGCCCTTCCTGATCCACCAGATACCCAGCAGTGTGGTCCCGCTTGGAAGAGCGGCCATCCCGGCGGTGTGGAGTAAGCACCTTGACTCTCTCTACTGGCTGAAACTTCCGGCCCTTGACCCACCAGTCAGTTTTGCTTTCACGTCGCCACCCCTGGTGTTGCTCATCTGCGTTGCCAATGGCCCTTGGGGAACCTTCTACCAGCACTGCCGTCTTCCTGAGCTGGCGGCTTTACCAGAAGGGGATGAAGGCCACATTGCCAGGGAGCCCTGACTCCCAACTTCAGCCCTGCCTGTCCCAACTCCAAGCTCAGCATTCCCAGCCAACACAAAGCTGATTGGGTGGTGAGCTGATCAGCTCACTGACTGAGTAAAGCAGTATGTGCAGCCACAAAGCTCCCTGTGAAGAGCTCCCAAGCTGCCAGTCATTTTATAGTTTTACCAAAATCAGGCTAAGCAATTGTTTGTGTCCAAGTAGGGCATAAAATGTTTGAAAAGTTATTGCTATTTTATATATAGATTGATCTAGAATGAAATAATGACTATTTGCAAACATTTTTAAAAATGAAAGTGCTTAGCACTAATTAATAAACAATTATTAATTAATAAACAAATTATGTCCTGATGTTTCATAACAAGCAAGTAATCTGTAGGTTTCATTAAAAAAACAATGAACAAACTCAAGATTCTGTGGCATTTTTCCTTGGCTGTTAATTGTTATTACTGTAAAATTATGAAATTGTACTGATATTTTGACAGTAATTACATTGCTGCTTCTTATGTAACTATTTACATCATTAATATTTCATAAACATATCAAAAGATTCGGGTTTCCATTTTTTGAGATGATTTCTTGTATTGTAAACAAAAATAGAAGAAATTTGGAACTGATTATAGTTTTCTAGCCTTTCCTTTTTTCTTAGATGCATGGTCATCTGTAAGAGGAAGAGGATGTGGTTTCAAGCTCTTACCAGCTTTTACTGTGAAACTGAAATTGAAGTGGGTGGAAACTTATCAGACTGAGATCACTGACAGCCTCCCATAACATGAGAAAGAGAGCATAGTCCCAACACATTCTTGATTTCCTTCCTGGCAGTCATGGGCTCAATAAGCCTCTCTCTCCTGGGTTTCCTTGCATTCATCAGTACCTGTGATCTCCATTGTCCACTCAGTCATCCTGACAATGGACTTCGTGAGTGCCGCAAAAAACTTACTTCACCAGCATTGGAGGTCCTCCCTGGGGGTGGCTGGGACAACCTGCGTAACCTTGATATGGGGCGAGTGATGAACATCAGCTATTCCCTGTGCCAGACCACCGAGGACGGCGTGTACATCATCCCAGACGAGGTCTTCATCATCCCACAGAAAGTGAGCAGAGTGGAGATGAACTCGGAGATCATCAGTTCATGGCTGGAACAGAAAAGCACCACTTCAAGCTCCATTAATGCAGACGGGTCCATACGCTCTGTGCTCAACGGCAAGTTCTCCGCTGAGAACAAACGCATGAAAACCCACCAAGTGAAAGAGAGTTCTGTCACATCACGTGTACAGGTAAGACCCAGTAACATAATTCCAAAGACACATTAACACAGTATATTTTAGGAATTATATTTTAGAATTAGCACAATATATTGTAATTTTGCATACTATTTTGAATTGTGCAAACATTCACATAAACAAGGAAGTAAAATGTCAGGACAATGGAAAAACTACCAATACCAGTGCAAATAAAATTCAAGAGACTCGTAAGATACTTGTATTAATTTATTCACTGATCCTCTGAGCTGCTCCCCTCTGGCCAACGATTCAGGTTCTAGAGTTTCATAGGATTTCTTTGAATTTGAGTCAGTGGGCCATTTTTAAAATTATAATTTATTTATTATTAGTTATTTTTAATTATAGTTTTAACGCTTTACTGCTTAAATACTTACAAACATCCTGGTTTTATTGCTAAGTTTGATGATTATCTATCCACTGAATATTTAGTTGAGATTCATTATATTCCAACAAAATGTTTTTGCAATATTTTATTTTTCTACATCAGTCAAGCTCAGCAGTTAGCCTTAATGTTAAAAATTCATGATTAATGGACCAGTAGAAAAATAGTTGGAATAAAATCTCTTTACATTGCACAAAAAATTAGAATGTTTTTGCCTTCTAATCATTTTGGAGGTACATGCTTTACTTAGGATAGTAAGGATGTATATGCTGTGTGGCTAAATCTTGGAGGATTCTTATATTAAATTTATTACATTCTTATAGGAACATTTTTCGAGAGACAAAAAATTGTAATGTAAAAAATGTAATTTACTACAAAACAATGTAATTACTACAAAACTGAGACTCCCAAAGAAATCTGTGATTGAGTGGGATTTTTAACATAAATACACTACCTGATTATATTTACTTTGATAAATTGCAATAGAATGTTCACATAATTCAAAAAGAAACTTCAAATGCAAAGGAAAAACTGATCTTTTTTTTTTTTGGATTGGCAATGCTCACTTCTTGGATTTAACTTTGTTTGTCAAAACAAGGAGGTGGAAGGTTTGGCCAATTCTGAAGCCTGAATACATGAAAGTAACTACTCTGAAACCGCATCTGTGGCAGTTCTAAATATTTAGATTTCTGAATGAAAAAAGTTTTGCTTTCTCATAGCAGATTCTGGTCCTGTTTTTTCTCAGGTGCGTAATCATCTGTACACTGTTAAGGTGTTTCCTGATTTCACTCTGGACACCCGCTTTGCCCGTCAGGTAGAGGAAATCGCAGATGCCATCAAGAACAACCGAACCCGTCAGGCAGAGTATCTGTCAGAGAAGATGATACTTGATTATGGCACACACGTCATCACAAGTGTTGATGCTGGTGCTACTTTGGTGGAGGAGGACTACTTAAAATCCTCTTATGTTTCTGATATGCAGTCTTCTCAGTCTTCTGTTTCAGCATCAGCTGGTGCTAACTTTTTTAAAAAAATAGTTGAATTTAAAATTGAAAGATTGAATATAACTGGATTTATAGACCAGGAAACATCTGAAACTCGGAGCTACCAGGGTAACATTACATACTCCATAACACTGAGTCATGGTGGGGCTTTATTTTATCCTGGTATAACTCTACAGAAATGGCAAGAGAGCACACACAACAATCTGGTAGCTATTGACCGTAGTGGACTACCACTCCACTATTTTCTCAATCCATCATTGTTTCCAGACCTCCCACTTCCAACAGTGAATAAACTAGCTCTGTTTGTGAGTCAGGCCATAGAACGCTACTACACAATTAACACTCGCCCTGGATGTGTGAACCCAGACTCCAAAAATTTTAATTTCCAAGCTAATGTAGATGATAATTCCTGTGAGGGTCCCAGCAGCAACCTTAACTTTGGTGGAGTTTACCAGCAGTGCACTCCCCTGACTTCAGACGGAGATGCAATCTGCCAGGAGCTCGCTGAGAAAAACCCAGCCACTGGCTCATATTCCTGTCAGCAACCATACACTGCTACCCTATTGCGCTCAGAAACACAGGAATACAATGAGTGTCATAGGCATTGTCATTCGTGCTGGTTGGTGTCTGAGTGCTGTAAAGACATCTGTGAAAATATGTCTGTTCGCATTGACACCTACTGGTGCTCCACTAATGAAATGGCTCAAGAGTTCTCTGGATATCTCTTTGGAGGTCTGTATGGCCCTTCTTTACAAAACCCATTAACCAAATCCAGATCTTGTCCTCCAAATTTCTTTCCTCAGAAATTTTTGTCAAATGGAATTATGATCTGTCTGAGCAGCGACTACAAAACAGCAACCAAATTCTCTGTACCGTTTGGAGGTTTCTTTAGCTGCCAGTCTACCAACTTGCTTGCAGGAAGCCAGTCTCGCTGCCCACCACAGTTCAGTCAACATCTTGCAGCCATAAGCGATGGATGCCAGATACTGTACTGTGTTCAGTCAGGTGTTTTCACTGGAGGCGAGTTACTGCCCATCCACCTGCCACCTTTCAAAAGACCTCCAGACACAAACATTGACGAGAGGAAAATCAAAGCGATAAAACCGTGGAGTCTAATGAAGCCTGAGGACAGCAAACTGTCCTCATATGATGATTCCTCTCAGTCAACAGGGAAATAGATGATATTGTGTTCGCTGAATAGCCTTGTTCAGCTCATGTGAACAAATCTTATATCCTGATTATAAGCTTAGCTATATTTTTATATTAATCAAGTAATTAGCTTTAATCTAACAGCACTAACTTTCTGCCTGGCAACAGAGTAATCTGCGGAAGACATATAACCCAACACGCTAACAGTTAATCCTTTTTTAAGACACATACACAGATACTTCCTGTGTAAGCAAGAAGGTAAATAAAACGTCCGCCTCTGTGGTTGATGCTCGTTCACTGAAATGAAGTTATCACCTTCTTCAGGAAATAGAGCTTCTGTCTCGAACTTAGGTTTACCACTGAAGGATACATGGTTTCACATTGTTTTTAAGCATCATGCTACAAAAGTGTATCATTGGTTACTCTGTAATAAGCCTTAATAACATAATAAGCCTTGATAACATAAGCCTTTGTAACTGTACATACATGTTCATAATCACACAAAAAAATGTTAAAACACCACAGTATAAGGCTTCATAGCAGTCCTGGCCACTGATATCACCACAGTTATAATACATATTTTTCCTGTTCTTAACATTATTGGTGAGACATAAAGCTGTATCATAAAGCTTAATAACAAATGTTCTATTCATTGACATAATGCTGTTTTTTAAAAAGATCCACAGTGATAAAAGCATGCCTTCAATCTTAACTTGCAAACTCTCTAATGTTCCTCACTATCTTCAAAATGAAAAAGATTTTCTAAGTGAATAACATCTAATAAAAACTTACCAGCTTTCTTTAAAGACTTTAGATAAAGTGATGTTATTGATCAGCTCTATGAAATAATCCACATTAATAGAAGTACATACCAAGTTATAAAGCACTAGAAGTGCTCTTCACAGACCTTAAGTAAAGTGAGATTGCTTTACATAAGAATATCTAGACAGAAGAATACAAGAATTACAAGTTTGTACTTTGAACAGGGGTTCATTTATTGACAAAACATATTTTTATATCAAAAAGGCAATGATGTATCCATATATATCAAAATAATTCCCTGTATCCCCTCATTTTTTCAAACAAATTAAATTCAGGTTTTCCAGTATAACAGATTCTCTGATGTTAAATTTTAAACAAATGTTTCCTTAATACAACAAAAGCTTTGTAATGCAAAACAAAATAAACTGAAACAACCTCAATGCCATTCACTGTATCCAAAGCGTAAAACCTCTACAAACATCAAACATTTTAGATATACAAATGCTTTTATCAATAACCTAATGAGCATTAGACTGCTAGGATATTTATTTTAATCTGATTTTTTTGTTTGACAAAACAAACTTGAACTCAAAAATTTTCTAGATTTTAAGAGAATCTGAAAAACCTGCTCTTTCAAAAAGAACAAATTTCTTGTCAATCAAACAACATTTTTATTGTGGAAGTACACCTCAGTGGATCATAGGTAACAGTTCCCATCATGCTTTCATTTGCATGATTTCAGACATTGTGGCATCTTGACACCTGTCAAAAAAATGTGGACAATTACTCTACTAGAGAATTCCATGGGGGCAGGACCTGAAAGACAATAATTGCTGCTAGGGCAAGCTCAGAAATTGGTGAGGTCCTGGGGATAGTATTGTTGTCTATTCCCACTTTTTGGAAAGCCCTCTTAATCAACCCACCTTGGTTAAAGGCTTGTAATGCATGCTTGTAATGCAGTATTACCCCACAAACAAGTTTGCCTTAGAAAAGAGGTAATGTAAAAAAAAAATAATCTAAATATCTTAATGCAAATATGCCATAGAACTATTGCAAAATAATATGACAATCAGTAAAAGTTATTACTTTGAGTGAGACTCAGGTCATGCATAGAATAAATAATGTTTGAGTATTCCAATAAGGTCATGTTAATGCTACAATTCAACAAATTGCCAAGTGTTCAACAAGTTCAAGAAAAAGTGTTGCTTTGAATTTACTTGATTCAAATGTATACATGGATTCCAAATGAATGAAATATATTACACCAGCACAATTACTGTGATTCATTTTTGCCGAGAACTGTATTGATGTTATGTATTTTTTTCATGTGAACTGATGTATAGTGTCAGTCTGTACCTTACGTTCATACTGATAATAAAGACATTTTTGTCTCTGCAGGAAAGCTTGCATCTGTTATATGACAGTTTGTAACCCTACACCACAGTTGATACAGTTGATCAATAAACTTGTGTTTCCATGTTGCAGTTTGTTTCTGTAATATTACAGATTGTAACCATACACCATGGTCCATTAGCTATTGTTACAGTTGCAAATGCACTGTATACAGAACTGAAAATTACACTGAGCACATTTTTACAGAACTTCCAAGAAAGACCCACTGTCCCCGGGTAAACAAAGCAATTGACTAGGTTGTTTTTCTGTGAGAAATTCACAGTTGATGCTTTAACCACTTGAAGTTGTGATCTTATTAAATTAAGCCACCACATGTAACACTTTAGGAAGCATTCTTGATTTGGTTAGGTTGTATCTCGTGCTGAAATACTGGTTTAACCTGATTACATTTAATTTCAGTTTAAATGCAAAGGAAATCTAGATTAAATCCATATTTAAATTTCACTTCAAGTTTTGTATCATGACACCTTGGTATAAACTCATTTAGAACTTGCAAGCCAAATTTTGAATGTTAGTGTTAGTCCTGGAGACCCCTGTCCTGCCCAGTTTCAACTATTCTCTGCACCACAAGAATGATTTGGTATATTAACCAAGTAAGCAAGCTGGCTGCCTTAAATATTTGATATTGGAAGTTAACAAAATGTAAGATATAGATTATTTTTAACTTAGTATTTACCATTGACGAAGTCAGAATTCCTCAGCCAGGTTACTTTTTTAAGTTAAATTCATGTTAAACTAAATTCATCGGTCAGATTAGGTGCTTTTGAGGAACACCTGAAACTATGCAATGCTATGGATCGCCAGGCAGGATTAAAAAAACACTGAATTCTATACATATACAAAGCTAGACATTGTACTACTCCCTGAACAAGTATATTTTTAACATTATATTTGTGTTTCATGTTTTACAATTAGACAATTACAATACAATTTTAACATCGTATGGCAAATAAAACATTGAAGAGTAAACAAGTATCAAACAAACACACATAAATAGAATAAATACACAAATGATTAAATAAGTAAATAAGTAGGTTAAAAAAACAAATAGACCAGTTACAGAGCAGTTAGATAGTAGAGCATTTTGATAGTGAGCCTAGTTTGGCAAATAGGAAAAAGATGTCCGTGGCCAGACCCGTGAAAATAAAAAAGTACACATGCAACCTCCCCCCCAAAAAATTATAAATTAAGGGAAAGATAAAGATAAACACTGATTTTGTAACCGTTCGTCAGAAACCAGACGCTCGCGGATTAAAAGGGCAAAAGGTGTTTTAATAGGGCTAGGCAGATGCGTGGTCAAAAGGCAGGCGTGGGTCAATTCCAAAAGACAAACCCAAAATAAAGCGGTGATCATATCACCGAGCAGACAAAGTCAAAAGGGCAAGGCAAAAACGAAGTCAGAAAACAGGCAAAGGTCCAAAAACACAGATCAGCAAAAACAGGCAACGGTACAAAAGGGCAAAGGCAAAAGGCAAATTCAAATAACGGAACAAAGGTCAAAAACGTACAGCAAATAACTCTCAGACAAAACACTCAGTATGCTCTGGAAGAAACAATACCTCGCAAAGAGCTAAACTACAGCCCGGGCTTAAAAGCTATTCTAGCTAGATCATATGACTGAAAACACAGGTGCAAATCTTTAGTATTCAGGTGAGTGTGACCTCTGATAGGAGCGTGTGATCTCCTCAGAGGTCATGTGATTCCCCACTGCATTGTGGGTAATGCAGTCCATCGAGTTTTCCGAATTGGAGGGAAATTGCATTGTCACGTGATCCTCGTGAGGATTCTGGGAACTGAAGTCCAGGTTCTCTAGTGACACGGATTGATGTGTGACAGATTTAGGACACCTCATCTTCTTTCAACAACTTGTTAACGTCTACATGTGACAATTAGAATTCCATACCTTTTCAATGTAGACTGTTTGCCTTTTAAAATATATGCTACTTTGTCTATTGACAAACAAAGGACATATTCTTTATCCACTGCATAATGGATGGCCTCTCTTTATTTATTTCCAAAATACAGCTATCTGGCATTTCACCTCTATGGTACATATAACAATTAACTTATGAGTGTTGCTTCCAACAAGATTGTCAGGGAAAGTACCCAAAATAAAGACTTAGGGTTTCAGAGGTAGATCTATAGACACTATGTGGAAAACACATTAAGACACCACTTTCCAGAACTCCCTGAATACATTGCAACCCACATATAGTTCGGTAGTGTGTCTTTTGAGAGTGAGCATTTCATGCATATATCAGGAATATTTCCATTAAATTTATTCAGTTTATACTGGGGTGATGTTTGTTCTCAAAATCCAGTTGTATTGTTGTAACTTTAGCTGGCTATTTATGTTTTGTGTCTGAGCATCTACACATACATTCATCCAGGCCTCTAATGAAATATATACTTGTAGACTTTTTTCCAACAGTTAAGTTTAGATTCTTAAGATTCTCTGGAAGCAGACATATTACAAAATGACGAGAGTAATCCTTTACTATCTGGGGAGATTTCATATTATTTCCTTTAATAAGGACTGTGGGATCTGAAAGCTTTGTGCCTTGATAGAACGAGATGAAGCCTCTAAGTTATAAGTATTTTAAAAAATGCTTTTTTGGATTGCCGAAATTGGTTGAAATCTCTGAGAAAGACATCAGCATTTACATTTACATTTACATCATTTAGCAGACCCTCTTATCCAGAGCAACTTACAAAAAGTGCTTTGTTATCTACTCAGAGAAAGTATCTTTGCTAGTTACAAATAGAGTAAAACACAGCGGCACACACAGCGGAACAGCAGCCACTGTGCCGGCACACACAGCGGAACAGCGGCCACTGTGCCGGCACACACAGC